TATCAATAGATTTTAGAATAACCTTCCCAACAACTTCTATTATAACCGCGTTTAACCTACACCGGGGATCCCTAGCAGGTCTAGTATCATCTATCAAATGGATTCTTTATTGAATAATGGTTAGATTAATCCTTTTAATATCAGTCATGGTCCATCCAATGGAAAAACCTAGAGTGGACTAACCCAAACTATCTAAAATGAGATAAATGATCGCATTATCAATACATTTCACAATATTTTTCCTAATAGCTTCTTTCATAACTGGATTTAACCTACAATGGGGATCTCTAGTAGGTTAGCATCATCTATCAAATTGATTCTTTGTTGAATAGTGGTTGGACTAATCCTTTTTGATATCGGTCATGGTCCATCCAGTGGCTTTCCTATTATCTTTCAAGATGTCTAAGAGGACTTTCTTTTTTATCAATTGTCAAGTTTAAAGCAATAATAATTGTTAAAGTCCAATTCTCCCCTAAGTAGGCATATTTCGAATTTTTAGATAAATGTTTGAGCTCTAACTTTGGGGGTTCCTCTGTACATGGACAAAGTTGGACTCAGGGTTCTATGCTCAAAGGTCTAGGGTTCCATCTCAATGTAGACACATATTGGCAGGTCTACCTCTTCTAATAGTTTAAATTTCTCATAGAAAATCTCCTTGAAACTTGAGTCAGGTAAAAAAAGATCTGACTCACACTCTCCTTCTTGTTGTTCACTTGAAATTTCTTGGATAAAGTTCACCTCTAGGGGTTGATCAGATTGATCACTAGACTATTTTCCTAGATTGACAATGTTAAGATCAATAATCATATTTCCAAAAGATAACTTTATTTGATCTATTTTGTAATTAATCAAAGCATTTGAAGTGGCTAAGAACGATTTACTTAAGCTAACTAGGATTTGACCTTTAAGATTCGAAACATGTTACGTTTTCAAGACTATGAAATCTACTGGAAAATAGAACTCCCCAGAACATCCTCTATCTCTCCCTTTGGTATTTTCATGGATCTATCAGCTAACTGAAGGGTGTATCTGGTTGATTTTAAATGACCAAGCCCTAAACTGAATAAAAAAGAAGATTCACACTAACTCCTAAGTTTAGAAGCGCCTTATCTGGGCCATGGACTTCGAAAGCATGTCACTGAGGCTATTAACTAAAAAGATTTTCTTGGGAACATTAGTGATTCTTTTCTTAGTGCACAAATTCTGCAAAAAGTTCACATAGGAATAGATTTGTTCGATTCATTCTAAGAGAGGAACATTGATTTTGACCTACTTGAAAGTTTCTAGAATTTTCTCCACCTGAGGATAGTTTTTCCTAGGTCTGAATCTTTTTGAAAAAAGGAGCAAAAGGCTTATACCTTTTTAGAACTTGTAGAAACAGAAATTGCTAATTGATAACGAAGAGAAGATTACGATATGGGAGATTGAATTGTTAAAAATTATTTGGTGTATTGAATATAATTGTGTTTCCTCCCGAAAATTTGTATGGTTGAAGTTTTATCTGAAAAAAGCATGCAGTGGGAACATTGTGATGAAAGAATTTTATTAATTCCCCCAACCAAAGCTAATGGTCTTTTTGTGGAGTTAAACATAGTCGCTAAAACGAAGATGAATACAATCTTGCGTAGGTAAGAAGCCCTAAAAGTGAAAAAATGTGTCCCAGCTCAAGTCAATCAAGTTTCAACCCTAGGATATCATAATTGCCTACATCAAGCCCAAGTTTCAGAAGAATGTTCTCTCTTAAGAAACAATCAATCATTAGAGCAAATGAACGCTACATTTTAATGTCGAAGAAATGATTTGTTTTCTCTAACCTATAATTGGGATTGGAAGAATCAAGAAAATTTCTTTGAAAATTAAAATTCATATTTTTTCCCCTTAACACATAGATTCTAAGAATATCTTTGAAGAATAATCCAATCCTTTATATATAATTGGTGAAAACTTGTGTCAACTTAAGTGTATAGGGAATAGTGTGTCCACCAAAGTTTTTAACCACTCATATTGCCTAGGGATCCTTGTATTATATAAAAAATGTGTTTTCTATTAATAAATGTGTGGCTATAAACTTTGGTGGACATTAACTTAAGTTGATAGGAGTCTTGCTCTATATAATTTGGCATAATACCACTTTTATATATTTTGATGAGAACATTAGATGAGAAGATCCTTAAACCCATCAAAATATTTTCAGAATGGCTTCCCTAGAATTATTTTGCAAGACTAGATGTTGTTTCTAAGCTTTACCGTCTTGTTGATTGGAAAGAATTCTTCTTGAAAGACGATAAAAAATTCATCCAAAGTTGAAATGGAATTTATGGGTAAGCTATACAACATTTCTTAGCTTTGTCTTTAAGAGAAAGGGGGACTAATCTGATCTTAATTGCATTCTTAGATAACTCTATAATCTTAATCATGAGATACACTTCTTCAAATTTGGATATAAAAATATATGCATCTTCGAATTTATTTCCTAAGAATTTTAAAAGCATATTTATGAAGTGAGGTCTAAGCACATAATTATCACCATTAATATCGGGAAGTCTAATTCAAGATGGGGTTGCATTCCTAGTAGGATAATACATATCTTGAAGCACGGTTATATTTGGATTAGCCATTTCTTTAGATTGAGAAACAAATTCAACATGAATTTAGCAAATTGGATTATCCCTAATATAAACTTGCATACACTAATGAAAGCTCTTTTTAACTTTTTTTAAAAATTAATAAAAAGGTCTAACAAGAAAAATAAATGTTAATTAATTTTATTTATTTATTATTATTAATTATAAAAAGGGAAAACTAAAATATCTAAAAGATTAGTGAGAGAGAAGAAGAAAGACAAAATAAAAAGAAAAACCAAACCAAACAAATCAAGATCAATCACTCAAAAAAGAAAAAATAAAAAGAAAAATCAAACCAAACAAATCAAGATCAATCACTCAAAAAAGAACCCTTAATTCTAGGGTTAAGCTAAAACTAAACTAGATTAGCTCCTGACTAGAAACTACTTGAGTAAAAGATTAAAGTTTACTTAGTCAGTTAGCCGGGTAAAGATAGTATTAAAGGGAGGGCAATGACCAATTAGGTATCTATTTCCTTGCGGAGCACCTTACGCAATCCCTAAACCTTGGTTTAGACACCAACAAATTCAAATAAACTTAAATCGGTTTGCTTAAAGATTCTTTGTTCCTTAATGAACTTGAATCCTTAGGGGCCATGTCCAATGAGTTTTAAAAGGCTTGAGTTTGTATAGTGAGAAATTAGTGATTTATAAGCTAAGAAAAAGTGATGAAATCTCTCATCTTATCTTGATTAAGAGTTTTTTGTCCTTAAGAGTATTTTCAAGTGAGTACTCAAATCAAAATACTCAAATCACTTTGTTGGATTCTTACTAACTATATGTGATGCAACTGTAAGAATTAAAAGTAACTATAAGAGGATGCAAAAAAAAAAAATCTTTTTTAATTAGGTAGATAACAAATATGAGAAAGAGAGCTCTTGTTGAATTTATTATCTTGTATAATAGTTATTTAAGTGGAGAGTGTATTTTATTATAGTCAACAAGAGAAAGTTTTTATTTTTCTTAATTACTTCATTATTGTCTCTATTTGTGAAAACCTAACTAGAAAATTGAATTAAAAATGCTAGAAAGAAAACTTACCTTTGGAAGGGAATGACCCTCTTGAAGCAAATCTTCTCTCAAGTCCAGGTAAGCACCTGACTCGGCAGATAGCTAATAAGTGTGGCCGAGTCCAGGTAAGCACCTGACTCGGTAGATAGCTAATAAGTGTCGGCTATGGGTGGCATGGGTCATCCAGGTGGTTAATGGAAAGCAATAACAGTTGCTTGGTGCTGACGGAGCCTGATGAGTTATAAAGACTTTTGGGGCAGAATCAATAATGATTTTTGACCATGCATTTAATGTGATGATGACTGGTTGTTAGTGGGGGGCTCGTGGAAGACCGCCTTTTGTCTCGGCCTGATGAGAAGGGACAACTCGGCCTGGTGAGAAGGGACAGATTTGGCTGCCTATCGAGAAGGGGACGACTCCTTGCGATAAGGGCGAGAAGTACCTCCTCTTTCGGTCATCTAGCGGAGGGCTGACTAATACTGCTTTTTTACTCGGCCTCGAGAGTTGTTGGCTAAGATAGTGAGCCAAGTGTGGAGGCTTATGGGCCCTGATTATGTCTGATCTGGCATGGAGTGAGACGCGTATCGACAAATCAAGAATGATTATCACTTAGTTATTTGCAGGCTATAACAATAAGTGCTACCAAAACAAATTAGAGTGTATAGGAGAAATTTTTTAAAACTTTAGGACATATAAGTGCTGCCAAAAATAAAGAAGAGTATACAAGTGTAAATTATCTGTCTGTTTGAGAGCTCACGACAAAAAAAAGAAGGAACACTAAAGAAGAGAAGAGATATTATTAAAATTTTCCTTCTCCTCCTTTACCACCCAAATTGGGGTGTAATGATGTAAGCTTTTTATGAAAATTTTCCATGCATTCCCCTCCTCTATCATCCCACTAAAACTACCCAACAAGATTAAACTCAAATTTCTCTTCCCCTTCCTTCTCTATCCTCATCCCTCTCTATCCGCATCCCGACACAGAAACTACAGGGAATTCAATTGCAATTAAGCCACAAAAATAACTGCACCGCCACTCTGCACTTAGTCCCCACCATGCTTCCATTTCCCACTATCTAACAAATAAAATATCAAAATATAAGTTTGTTTCCATCTTAGTCATTAATTCTTTGATATTTGAACCTACACCCTCAAATTATTAAATTCCTAATAGATCCCTGAGTTCTTACAATCTTTTTAAAAATTAAATGCCTAAATTCAATAAAATTTGTATAATCTGTTGCAAATAAACTCCCTCAGTCGAGATAAATGGGCCGTAAATTATAAGAATTGGGGGACCTTTGAATGACGCCAAGTACCAATTCTAAATACTAAAGATATAAGGGACTTATACAGCAAACCCGAATCTAAATCCCTCTTCTTCCTCTCTTCACTGTGCGCACTACTCAAAGTAGTGCTCACCCACCAAATTTCTCATCTCCCCTTCACCCTCCAAAATCCCAAAACAAATCTCAGATCCCTAAATCTCGAAACCCTAAAGTCAAAACCATAGCCAATGGGTCACATAAATCTCCCGCCATCTCGCCGCTCTCTCCACCGCCGCTGGAACTCCTCGACGCCGCCTGCATGTCCTTCTTCGCCGGCGTCGCCGTCTTCTTCCTCCTCGTCTTCACCTCCCTCGGCGACTCCCTCGCCGCCTCCGGCCGCCGCTCCCTCGCCGCCTCCGACCCCCGCCACCGCCACCGCGTCCTCGAGCTCCTACTCGACTCTCCGCCGCGAGATCGACGGCGGGAGGCGTCTGTGGGGACGTGGGGATGCGAGGGGCGGGGATGTGGATTTGATGCGCGTCGCGAGGATCCGAGGAGGAACAGTCAGTTGAGCAGGGAGATGAATTTTATAGGGAGCGTCATTGTCGGCGCCCCAGAGGATGGGCCGCTTTGTTTGGTGCCGACGGCGGGTATCGGATTCCGGTCCAGTGGCCGGAGAGCTTGCACAAGGTAATTGTTCTGTATTTGTGATAAGTTGGTGCATTATAAAGGAATAAGCTTCGTGTATCTCGAAGACTAGTGGCTGTTCTAATTACATCCAAATTTTACTATATATTTTTGGTTCCGTGTTGTGTGTCAAAGGACCCTTGCAATCCATTGAAACTCTGAGAGGATCCATCTAACACACCACAACTCTGAAGGTATGTAGAGGGATTAGGGTTACAATTATATATTCTAACCCACTCCCTCAGGTTGAGCTCTCTTTTCTTGGGCCAAAATTGGACTCATGTTGTGGTACCTTATTTATAATCTGCATTATATGCATAGCATATAGGATTTGAAATCCGGATTAATCTGGTACCATCAAAGGACCCTTCCACCATGCCAAGGCTCTTAACATTATGGTGTGGTTTGAGGGTTGTAATTTTATATTGTTTAGTAATGTATAATGTAAAAGCAAAACGGCTTATAAATAGAGCTTCACTGTACAAAGCTACTACTACTAGTAATAAAACAACCTATCACTGACACTCTTATTGTAACCCACTGCCTTGATGTAACTTTGCCTTCACTAGCCTCTTGATTTAGACTTTGCTTAGTCTCTCTAGTTGGATCACGAGAAAAAATTTCATAGGTGCACCTGCCATCCAAGTATGCAACACATGCTTCAGCTCTTGTCACATGATTGATAGTCAGCGCTGACCTTCAATACGGTGTTAGAGCAAGGAAGGCATGATATGACTGCAAACTAAAGAAAGCTCTCTATAGCAAGCTTCGAGAGCATGATATGCTAAGATTGGTGAGTTCTTAATTCAAAATGGCTAGTTTGTTGCTTTTGCAGATTGTAGCTTATTTGTCAAGAAGATTGGCGATAAGCTAGCAATCATGTTGATCTTTGTGGATGACTTGATCATTATTGACTGAAGGAATGATGGATTGTTCCTTTGCCAAGAAAAGTATGCTAAGGAAATGTTGCTCAAGCATGAGATGTTCATTTGCAAGCCAATCTTGATGTCGATGGAGACGAACCTGAAGGCGCGTGCACATGAAGCAAAGAATTTAGAGGATCCAACTATGTATCGACAACTAGTTTGGAGTCTGATCAATCTGACGATGAAAATACTAGACATCGCATTTGTGGTGGGCCGATACATTCAAAAGCCAGAAAAGCCTCAATTGGAAGTAGTTAGAAGAATTCTAATGTATGTCAAAACTACACTCAATCATGTTCTTTTGTATAAGAAAGGTGGAGATTGTGAGGTTTACAGTTATTCTGATGTTGACTACACTAGAGATCATGACACTTGAAGGTTTACCATTGGATGCGTCTTCAATCTTTGTTTAAGAGCTATACCTCGATGCAATAAAAGATGGTCAACGATGTCACTATCAACTACAAAGGGTGTATGTAGATCAACAACGATGATAGCTCAGGAAAGTGCATGACATTTCAGTTGATAGATGATCTAAATCAGTCAATAGAATACTTGTAGCTCTACATTATGATAATCAATTTGCAATTTGGCTCGTGGTGAAATCAGTTTTTGATGCAAGGATGAAGCTTATCGAAGTAGGTCATCACTTTCTATGAGAGGAAGTTCTTCATGAAGAGATTCTAATGGATCCGATTGGCACAAATGAACGAGTACCTGATTTATTTACGAAAGCATTGAGTTTTTCATAGTTTACCAAATTAAAAATAAACTTGAGGTTGTGAGAAGTCATTGCTAACTACGAGTATTGAAGGTGAGCACTGATCATTGATATGAGCATGTGTTGTATTCTTGGGTAATAGTTACACCTACCATTAAATGTTATCTCATGGCTAAACTAGAGAGGCTAAGCAAAGTTTAGATAAAGAAGTCAGTGATGCAAAGTTGAGTGTAGGTTAGGTTCTTGTATTGTAGCAGTAATAGTTTTGTATTGCTAAGATAAGTTATTAAGATAAGTTAATATTAATATTAATATATTAATATTAATATACCAGTAATAGTTTTGTATTGCTAAGATAAGTTATTAAGATAAGTTAATATTAATATTAATATATTAATATTAATATAGCAGTAATAGTTTTGTACAAGTGAGTTCAGTGTAGTTAGAGAGAAAGGATTGTATTGCTAAGATAAGTTAATATTAATATATTTTATGTGTGCCCACCACTCTTTTAATTCAACGATCCCAACTATTCCTAACCAATCACACCTCTAGTGAAATGTATTTATGGGAGAACAGTTAATGTTATAATATTAGTTATTCTGGTAGTACTTAATATGGATCAATTAGGAAACAAGTGGTGTAAAATTTCTAGTAAGGGTAATTGTTCGGTATGAATGGGAGGTTACTAACTGGAATGACATGAAGATTTGAAACCTATCAAGCGAAGATGTTAATGAATGTTTATACAAGGTTGCCTTTTTATCGAGATGTTTTGTATATGTATCATACAATGCAAACTATCATTTTTCTTGGCCTGTTATGGGATACTTGGTGTATCATACAATTTCAGAGAAGGATAGAGATAACTTAAATGATAAAACGAATGAATGCAATATAGTTGTTCATAATTGTATCACTTAGACTTCCATTTGACATTTGTTAAAATAAGATATGCTTATAAGCTTATAAGTAGTCTAATTGTGATTGAGATTCTAAATGGAAGATGTTGGATTCATCGTGGCTAGGATAAACTGTACTTGTCAAAAGGATATTCCTAGATTTAGAAAAAGTCTCTCATGATTAAAATAGCACCTTTTAGACTATGACTCAAGAAAGAAGCATGTGGGCTTTATCTAGTACATAAACATGTGATGTGATGCATTTGATGTTAGATTGATATATTATAATCTGGTTTTACCCTGACAAACTAGTTTGGCATTTCTCTTTAGCGTACCAATCTATATCAAAGATTCCAACATATGTGTCTATGTATTGATGGCATTTTACGCCCCTAAAGGCAATAGTGATATCACAAGAATATTGCGGGAAGAGCCGGATCTCTTATTGAGCAAGATAACCTACACATTCAAATGCAACCCATTTCACGGCTCCTTCCACATATCTAACTCTGATATGCCTTTAGGGAATAAAGTTCCCCCAATAACAGGTATCAAAGCCAAGGTTGTGGTCTAAGGAAAAGTGAAGTCCTGTGAAACCCGAAGATGTCCAGAAGATGGCTAAGTTTAGATTAGTCTATCAAAACCCCCTAACGGTAGACAATTATAGAATAATGTGGTATGTCATGGCTGTGGAAACCTGTGGATGGTTGTCGGTGTAGACAAAGGCTTAATTAGTCCACATGTGGTGGAATATCCTACATATGTTGATACTAATGTCGCTATCTCTGTTGTTAGTTTAGGCTAATTCAACAAAAGGGATTTGTAGTTCTCATGGATAAAAGTGGATAATTGAACTGTATTCACAAATCAAGGGGAATACTGCTGAGATATTCATGTATGGGTGTAGTACCACGTTAGAAAGGATAAGAAAGAATGATGGTTTTAAATAGAAGGTGGGTCCAATATCTAATAGCTTAATCTTGTGGGTTAAAATTGATTCATAGCCTCTATTTAAGGCCCATTAGCTCTCAGTTGGGCCCAATTACTTCCTAATTGTGATTTTCTTCATTGCCTTTATGGGAGTAAAATCCAAATATGTAGTATTGATAATTTTAAGGAGGAGAAGCATCTGTGTTAGATATGTATCTCATATTTAGGCACTATAGTATTTTATGTACACCTATTTGACGCTCCTGACTAGGGGTGGCAAACGGGTCGGGTCGAGTCGTTTCAGGTTGGGTCAGTGTTGACCCGACCCTTATAACTTTGACCTGGACCCAACCTGTTTAATAAACAGGTCATGTTACCCAACCTATTTATTAAATATGGGTCACTTGACCTACCTGAGTGACCTATGTAAATTTAATGGGTTCGTGGTGAAATGCTTTGCAGGACGCTCAACAAATCATGGATTTTTCTTATCTCAAAGAAGAGGAGAATGAACTTCTTTTACATTGTTTAATTATAAAGAAATAATAGCAAAATGACGCCCTATAAAATCAACTAAAGCTAATGAGAATTAGGCTTTATGATATAGAGCACTGAGAACAAAATCAATTAAACTTGCTTGCATAAACATCAATTGAATTATAAACCCATTTAAAAATCAAATACAAAATAAAGAAAAATACAAGATAAGCAAATTTAAAACAATTGTGTTAGAAAAATATGATCTTTAATAGAAAAATTAGAGTATTCAAACCGATTACACACTTATAACTGAGAAATTGACATTCTTTAATCAATAAACTCCTAAAAGTCTTAACATTTAGAAGACAAATAGAAAAGAACTTGTATTCATAGCTAGTGCTAAACTTGCCCATTGTAGATCACACAAACTCCATTGATCTGCTACTGAATTA